AGATTGGAGAGTCAAGGAGCACGAAATTTCAGCGAAGGTTAGCGAGATCCCGACGAACTTCAGCACAAAGGAGAATCTGTTCGAAGGATCCGAAGCCCGTACGTCCGTTCCTTGAGATTAGGCTTGGTCTTAATCTCGAGAAGAGCCCTGATTTCGCTTTGTCGATCTCAGCGCTTCAAGCAAAAACCCCCTTCGGTGAGGTAGTAGCTCTGCCGAATTTTCCTACAACCGGATCTGATTCACGGTTGTCCACGGATTAACCTCGGCACCGGCGAAGAACCCACGCAAGCAAGAGCCGATAAACGGATCTTGTGTTTATTTTCAAAAAAATTGTAACCTTTTATTTTCGTTATTTGAATTCATTTGTAACGACTAAAGTTTAATGAAATCAATGATGAAGGCAGCTTTCCACGAAAATAGCTAGAAACTAAAATTTTTTTGACTTTGGAGAAAATATCTTATAAGTTTTAAAAATTGTAAAAACACCACTAAAAATTCAAAATTTGTAAAAACACCTTGAAAATTTCAAACCTATAAACACACTAAAAACCTACAAAAAACAAACTCCAAAAATTATAGAATTTGCAATAAACATTATAAACTTTTTACAAATTACAAATTAAAACTCTTAAAATTATAAAATTTATAAAAATGCTGATAATTTCCAACCTAATAGTACATTGAAAATATAGGAATTGAAAATATCCCTTATATAATTTATAATTATACAAAACACCCTTAAAGTTTCAAAAATTATAAACAAAAACTCAAATTTTAAATTTTACAAAAAAATACCCTTAGAATTACAAACTCATTAGTAAATTGAAAAAATGAATTATAAGTAGTCTATAAACAAGTTATAATATGTAAAAATGGCATATAAGTTTAAAAAATTATAAAAAATCCTTAAATTTATAATTTTCAAAGAAACACCATGCGAATTTTCAACCTATAGATACTGAAATGAATATACAAACTTACTAACCCCTAGAAAATTAAAAATTTGCAAAAAATATCATACTCCCTTTAAACTATAGGTTTAGAAAATACTTTTCAAGGTCAATATTAGCCATAATTTTTTTGAAAAGAACATAACTAATTAAAAATCTATTAAATTTGAATTTTATAAAAAAATATATTTAAAGTTTAGTACATTGCAAATTACCCCCCCCCCCTCAAAGTTTAAAAATTTTCAATGATTTTTTTCAATTCATTGATTTCAATGTAATGTTTAATAGTTTTGTATAGTTGTAAATTAAAAAAATTTAGGGTTTTTTACAATTATTAAAACTTTGAGGGTGTTTCTTTTGTAATTTTCTAAATTTTTATTGTGTTTTCAATGTAATGCATAGATTCATCAATTAATAATGATAATGAAGAGTAAGTCGTTCTTAAGATGTATTAGGCCATAGTTAAGTGCATATTACTCTTCCTAAGCAGTATAGTTTATATATGCAAATATTTTCAGACAATGTATATAGTGTTTAAAAGTATTTTGACTTTAATATACTATTTTTTATAAATTATATTTAATGTGAACCCACCATATAATTTTGGCTATGGTCATCATAATTTTAATACGTTTCGATTGGTTGACTAAATAGGTATATAGACCATAGATTACTTTACTTTCTCACATGAACTAATATTTAACACTTAATAATTTAAATTGTTATTTTTAAAATAATATAAAGAAAAACTCTAATAACATTTATTTATTTACCTGCGGGATTATACAACCTCAATTCCTATTTTTTGCTTGAGATTTATTCCATAGTTACGTGTATCAAATTAGTAACTACAACGTAAAGTTAACCAATTTTGTTGAGCCTAACTACTGGCTATAAGCATCGATGTTTCCATATATATATATATAGAGAGAGAGAGAGAGAGAGAGAGAGAGAGAATTTATTAAAAATGTCATATTATCTTATATAGTAAAATTGCTTTAATACTGAATAGTAGTATCGTTTTAATAATATTATTGTTAGGGAAAATTCTTCATGAACCAGTATATAAGCTATGCAGTCTAAATTCTTATGTGTTTTATAGAGCCAAAAAGTTTGAATACAAACCTCTAACATTTTGTTATCGCAACAGCAAAATCTACTTAGCAGATGTGGATATTCTAGATGAGTTATATATCCTATATACAATACAATTGCCCTAGGCAAGTAAGTTATAATAGCATTTTTTATTCCTATCATTTGGAGCAAGATACGATAGGGACATTGCATCAAAGAAAAAAGAAATTTTTATATTTAGAGCACATGGGGAAATATATCATAATCTCCTTGCTCTAATTTCGCAATAAAATAATTATTCATACTTTCAATTTTATTTCCATGATACGGAGAGTGCTCAACCATACATTGATGATATTATTCTTTATGATATTTTTCAAAGAATAAAAGTTAATCAATTCTTCAAGTACAAGTGTTGCTTCTCAAGCCTCAGCTGCTTCTTTGTAATATTTTTAAAGTGCTTGTAATTTACAGTTTTACTTTAGTTTGGTAAAAAGTTTATTAAAATTTTACTTTCTATCAATCCCACAAAAAACTTTATTTTATTTTTTATTTTTATTCTTCTTTTATCAATTTAAATAATTATGATATTCAATCACGTGCATTGCACGTACATCTCAATTTAAATAATTATGATATTCAACCACGTGTGCATATATACATACACACACTATATTTTACCTTCCTTCGCTATTTAGTTTCTTGTGAATTTATAATCTTAGTTATTATTTGGAACGGTAAGTTAATTCTTTATTTTAATGCAATTTACTTTCTTCGCAGTTCATTTATTCAGGGATTTATTATTTTATTTACTACTTTCCAGTAAATGGCTCTGAGGACACCCGATCAGATGGGAGTAGTGTAGATTTACTTATTCTTGACTTCCTTTAATTTGCAACGCTTTCATTTCGGTCGATCTTTACAAAATAGGAGTATATTTATGGCAAAATAGTACTAATATTTAGAGCCAATTGAGTAATGAAAGCTATAAGGCTCTGATCAAAACATCACGTCTTCCTATCTTAATTAGGTATAATTTTTAAACGAAAACACAACTCTAAGTTGTACTGGCGGCTTTTCAATCATGATGATCTCATGCAGTGGCGGAGCCACATGAGCTGCCCAGGCCAGATATTAATGGGTATCCTTGTCATAGGAGGGGATTTCCTCATTGACGCCTCTAAAATCACATGATTGTACGATATTATGGATGATCCGCTCCGTTGAACTTGATCTACATATTCTAAAACCCCAACACACCAAGTTTGGGGTGAACCCGTCGTCGTTTGACCCTTCATCCACTCGTATCAATTTTAACGGTTTTGAATGAATAGAATCTAAGGTGACTCCCTAGGTGTAGCCTAAGGATGCGCAATCTCAGCCATTGATCTCAAAAACCCCAAAATCATCCCAGCCATTGATTTAAATCAATTCCCCAAAAAAGAAAAAAACCCATTACCATAAAAAACACCCTATTAATGACGCGGTTTAACAAATTCCCAAAAAAAAATAAGATCGGAAAAACACAGAGGCGGAAAAATCACAGAGGCGGAAAAAATTCCGCACAAAACGAACGAAAAAAAAAACAGCGGAAAAAATTTGTTAAACCGCAGAAAACTCGTCGTCCGCCTCCCCCATTGATCCCCCTTCGTTGATCCGCCTCCGCCATTGATCCCCGCTCGACGTCGACGTCCGCTCGACGTCCGCCCCCGCTCGACGTCCGACCTCCGCTCGACGTCCCTCAGGTGCGTTTTTTTTTTTTGCATGTTAGGTATTTTTTTCCTCAGCTTTTATTTTCAGTTTTTGTATTTGATCGTATCAATTTTAGAGTAGATGATTGGAATTGTAATGGGAACGTGTTGGCATTTGGTAGTTTACGAGCAACATTACTTTTTGATCCAAGTTTAGGTTATGAATTAACTTGTTTGTTGGATGTTTTAACTATCATATTTTAGTTTAAATTTTAGGATAGGTTTAATGTTATATTGGATATGAGCTTTAAAAATTGTTTAAATTATCGTAATGAGATTGTTTAGTGAAATTGAAAGATGAACTTGAGGACGATTTTCTATTGATTTTGAACTTCTTATATGTGATAATTTGATAGATTGTATGGACACGCCAACAATTCTCTCACGTGATACAACAATGGTTGAAGATGAGAACAAATATATAGCCCTTGACCTTGACGGCGATGACTATGGTTTACTATCTACGACAAGTTTTTTCTCTCAGGTGATAATATCTTATTGTCTATTGTGTACTACTATCTAATGACATATACCAAAATAGTTATCTTTTATAATGGGTTTTATAATATTTGTTTCTCTATTTTTACAGGCATCCGAGCATGAGCAGAATTGATGAGCCTATTGGCATTGAAAATGGTGAAGGTAATTTTGTTGTTGATCCATATATTGGAATGGAGTTTTCTACTCATGAGGAAGCTTATAATTTCTACAATGCATACGCTAGACTTAAGGGATTTGGTGTTCGCAAGGGTCACACAACTTGGTCTAGAAAGAAAGATGCAATCATATCTAGAATATATGTATGTGACAAGGAAGGTTTTAAATTTTTAAAAGATAAAAGAGAAGATGGTCGGAATGTAGTTCGAAAGTTTGATACAAGATGTGGATGCAAGGCAAGGATGGTTATTGGACTCGATAGAAGCACTAAAAAATGGGTGGTCTGAAATTTAAACATTAATCATAATGGTCATCCATTAACCACCCCAAATCGGGTAAAGAAGCACTACTCACATGGGACACTTCATCGAGCTCAATCGACAAGAAGGTTGATAGATACTCTTGACAATCAAGGTTTATGGCATTCTACCATTTGTAAGGTTGTAGACGTTGCTCATGGAAATGAGCAAGGCTCTCTCACTCAACAAGAATGCCAAGCACAACTTAGAATAAAACGAAAAAATAATGTCGGTCATGAGTGCGTGAGCATAGTTCGTCAATTTCAAGAGAAAAAGGTATCTGATCCTCAATTTTACTTCGCACTTGATTTAGAAAATGATGGGACGATGAGAAGTGTTTTTTGGATGGATGGTAGGTCGAGGACTTCTTACTTGCAATTTGAAGATGTTGTTTGCTTTGATGTTACATATAGAACGAACAATTTAAAATTGCTGTTTGTACCATTTACGGGCGTTAACCATCATCGACAATCTATTCTATTTGGGTGTGCGTTACTGGCCGATGAAACGGAGGAGACGTTTATATGGTTATTTAGCCAATGGTTAAAATGTATGTCGGGTGTAGCACCATTAACAATCATCACTGATCAAGATAAAGCTATGTGTGGTGCAATTCACAAAGTTTTTCCTCAAACTCGTCATCGCTTTTGTTCTTGGCACCTTCATAGGAATGCCTTACAAAATATTCAATCAATGCATAATGAATATGGTGAGGACGTGGGTATAAAGTATAACAAATGGTATTGGAGTAAATCAGAAGAAAAATTTGTAAAGCGTTGGGAAGAAATGCGGGATAAATATGGTGCAGATAAAAGAAATTGGTTAGTAAATTTATACAATCATCGAGACCATTGGGCTCCAGTGTATCTTAAAGACACTTTTACTGCAGGAATGACATCTACTCAGCGGAGTGAGGGAATTAATGCCTTTTTTGATCATTTTGTGAATGCAAATACCGAGTTACATGATTTTGTTAAGCAATATGATAAATCTGTTGAAGCTCGCCGAGCCGCTGAACTTGAGCAAGATTTTAAGTCCACAAACTCTGTTCCCATTGATAATTGAACATCCCATTAAAAAACAAGCTAGGGAGAATTATACAAAGAATATGTTTAAAATCTTTCAGAAAGAACTCAAGGATAGTTACTTCATGCTTCATGAGAGGTTGTCGAAGGATGGCGCAAGTGCTACTTATGCCGTTTGGAATATAGATCGTGAGGCTGAGAAGAAAAAGACGGTAAAGCATCATGTTGTTTTCGATGCATCCAAAGGTAAAAGAATTAAGTGCTCTTGTGCGAAATTTGAGATGGAAGGTATATTATGCAAACATAGCTTGCACATTTTAGTAAAAAAGCAAGTATTAGAAATTCCATTTAAGATATATTATGCAACGATGGACAATTAAAGCAAGACATGTTGGTTGCGGAGTTGTTAGAAATTACATTTCAAATTGCGAAAACCAAGTCTCTATCATTAAACATTGGACCCTGAGGAGTAGATGTAACAAGGCATTAGAAGATACATTGACTTCAAGTACACTTCATGATAAGTTTAGTGCTTTTTTAGACTCATTTTTTGAAGAAGTTGGTACTTACAAGAAAGAAAATGAACATAACGATAATGGAAATGAGAGCATTACTAGCAATAAGATGACTACTTCATCCATACCCATCTCTGTAGAGGAAGCAACTCAAATCACTATTCGTAATCCAGATAAGCCTATTGCCACGAAGGGACGACCAACACAAGCTACCAGAATTAAGTCCGGAATTGAGATAGCACAAGAAAAGAGTATAAAAAAACAAAGATTTTGTGGATTTTGTAAGGGAAAAGGACATTATATAACGAGTTGTCCTTTAGCTAAGGTATTATATTTATTCTTGATTTAATTTTTTTTTTCATGTCGATGCATTTGTAATGATAAAGTTATAATTTTTTTTGTAGATGAAAAATGTTACAGGTGGTGATCGAGAAAGGTAATGGAGGGCCAAAACAAAGTTAAAGGTGGACCAGAACAAAGCATGCGTTTATGAAGAATTTTGATAATTTGAATTAAAGTTTATGTATGTATGGATGATTTGGTTGTATGGATTAATCATGTATGGTTGATAATGTGGTCGTATGGATTAATCAAGTATGGATGATAATTTAAATTAAAGTTTATGTACGTATGGATTAGTTGGTTGTATTGATGATAATATGGTTGTATGGATTAACCATGTATGGGTGAAAAATGAGGTACAAAACGTGGCTAAGTATGTAGAAAACATGCATAAGTAGGTACAAAACTTAATTAAGTGGGTACAATTTTTTTTTTAAGAACTACGAGGTAGTAAGCAGGCATAAGTAGGTACAATAGTGTAATAACTGGGTACAATTTTTTTTCCAAGAACTACGAGGTCCAAAACGTGCATAAGTGGGTAGAAAAGAGTAATAAGTACAAAAAAATTTCCAGATCAATGAGGTACAAAACGTGGCTAAGTAGGTAGAAAACATGCATAAGTAGGTACAAATTTTGATTAAATGGGTACAAATGTTTTTTCAAGAACTACGAGGTACAAAACGTGGCTAAGTATGTAGAAAACAGGCATAAGTAGGTACAAAAGTGTAATAACTAGGTACAATTTTTTTTTCAAGAACTACGAGGTCCAAAACGTGCATAAGTGGGTAGAAAAGAGTAATAAGTACAAAAAAAATTCCAGATCAATGAGGTACAAAACGTGGCTAAGTAGGTAGAAAACAGGCATAAGTAGGTACAAAAGTGTAATAACTAGGTACAAAATTTTTTTTAAGAACTACGAGGTACAAAACGTGGCTAAGTAGGTAGAAAACAGGCATAAGTAGGTACAAAAATGTAATAACTGGGTACAAATTTTTTTTCAAGAACTACGAGGTACAAAATGTTGCTAAGTAGGTACAAAACATTCATAAGTAGGTACAAAAGTGTAATAACTGGGTACAAATTTTTTTTCAAGAACTATGAGGTACAAAACGTGGCTAAGTAGGTAGAAAACAGGCATAAGTAGGTACAAAAGTATAATAAGTAGGTACCAAATTTTTTTTTAAGAACTACGAGGTACAAACCGTGGCTAAGTAGGTAGAAAACATGCATAAGTAGGTACAAATTTTTTTTTAAGAACTACGAGGTACAAACCGTGGCTAAGTAGGTAGAAAACATGCATAAGTAGGTACAAAAGTGTAATAACTAGGTACAATTTTTTTTCAAGAACTACGAGGTCCAAAACATGCATAAGTGGGTAGAAAAGAGTAATAAGTAGGTACAAATTTTTTTTCAAGAACTACGAGGTACAAAACGTTGCTAAGTAGGTACAAAACAAGCATAAGTAGGTACAAAAGTGTAATAACTGGGTACAAATTTTTTTTCAAGAACTACGAGGTACAAAACATGGCTAAGTAGGTAGAAAACAGGCATAAGTAGGTACAAAAGTGTAATAAGTAGGTACAATTTTTTTTTTAAGAACTACGAGGTACAAACCGTGGCTAAGTAGGTAGAAAACATGCATAAGTAGGTACAAATTTTTTTTTAAGAACTACGAGGTACAAACCGTGGCTAAGTAGGTAGAAAACATGCATAAGTAGGTACAAAAGTGTAATAACTAGGTACAATTTTTTTTACGTGGCTAAGTAGGTAGAAAACATGCATAAGTAGGTACAAAAGTGTAATAACTAGGTACAATTTTTTTTTCAAGAACTACGAGGTCCAAAACATGCATAAGTGGGTAGAAAAGAGTAATAAGTACAAAAAAATTTCCAGATCAATGAGGTATAAAACGTGGCTAAGTAGGTAGAAAACATGCATAAGTAGGTACAAAATTTGATTAAGTGGGTACAAATTTTTTTTCAAGAACTATGAGGTACAAAACGTGGCTAAGTAGGTAGAAAACAGGCATAAGTAGGTACAAAAGTGTAATAACTGGGTACAAATTTTTTTTCAAGAACTACGAGGTACAAAACATGGCTAAGTAGGTAGAAAACAGGCATAAGTAGGTACAAAAGTGTAATAACTAGGTACAATTTTTTTTTTCAAGAACTACGAGCTCCAAAACGTGCATAAGTGGGTACAAAAGTGTAATAAGTACAAAAAATTTCCAGATTAATGAGGTACAAAACGTGGCTAAGTAGGTAGAAAACAGGCATAAGTAGGTACAAAAGTGTAATAACTGGGTACAAATTTTTTTTCAAGAACTACGACATAAGTAGGTACAAAAGTGTAATAACTGGGTACAAATTTTTTTTCAAGAACTACGAGGTACAAAACGTTGCTAAGTAGGTACAAAACAAGCATAAGTATGTACAAAAGTGTAATAACTGGGTACAAATTTTTTTTAAGAACTACGAGGTACAAACGTGGCTAAGTAGGTACAAAACAGGCATAAGTAGGTACAAAAGTGTAATAACTGGGTACAAATTTTCAACCATTGCATAGCGTACAATCAAATTAAAGATGATACTTGATGTGATTAAAACGAATACAACAATCAAATTAAAGATGCTTAGTAGCTTACTTTTCAACCATTGCATAGCGTTTCACAATAAATAACATGATCTGTTCGTAGATAGCCCAATAAATAACATTTTCAATGAAAATTTTGTCACTTCCACTTATCCATAAATTATCATCCACATAATATCATCCACATATTGCATACAAAACAAAAACCATGGTGAAGAATAAAATCATATTTACAAAAAAGGTGAATTGCGTGCATACAAAAGAGCTGCACAAAACTTTGCTCTATACTTTGCACAATCTTCTTTTGAAATTGTTATCGGCCGCTTTTCGACAATGCTCGTAATGAATTCAATCATAAAGATCCCGCAATCTAAAGTTCTGCATTTAAGGAAAAAATACAATATTGATAATGACTTTGAGAAAAATGAACATTTACATTAAAACGCATGAAATACTTACGGTCCTTGTTGTGGCGTGTCAACTGACTCCAGAACATGATGCTCTAATTTCCCCAATCTCCAATTACTTTGTATGAAACTCATAAACTTATTTCTAAATTTCGCAGCATCGACGGTATAAATGGGGGATTTGATTGAGGAGTAGTGATAGAATTTTTTTCTCCTCTCTCACTAACTCTACCATGTGCCAATGTCCAGAGCTGACAATCGAGATCAGAAATCTTTCACACTCCAAGAACTTCTGCTGAGAAATATTATTCTTCATTCGTTTTGCCACCATTTCACGATTTCCATCTAGAAATGCTTGCTAAAAGAAGCATCAATGTCAACAATGTAGTGTTATATATTAATAAAAACCACAAACTAATGAAACAACATGGATATACTTACTGCAAGCCAAGGCCTTGTAACATGTATCTTTCGATCATAACTATTAGTTGTTTCAATCTTTTTCCAAAGCCGAATAACAAATGCGTCTATCACCTAAAAAATTTACCATGAACGAATAAAGTAGTTAATATAAGTGATTTTATAGACAACATCAAACAAACCATAACACAAATGTTTAGGACCTACGTCATCACTGAGTTCACCTCCTGTCAATAGTTTATAAGCATCTAAGTGAGATACGCTTGCTTCGGCACACTTCCAAATGTATGTATCACTATATCCAAAACATGGTGAGAAAATTGCAACACAAATTAAGTAAATTCAAAGATTATTATTAGAATAAGCCAGTAACAAATATCTGGTCATTTTCGATTGTAGAAAGTCTTCAATTAATTTGTCCTCATAATCATCGACCAATACCTTACCTGGATAGTCGAGAGATGTAGGTATGAAGCCTTCATCATTTTTGTAATTTTTTTCCCCTCAGGACTATCCAATATCTAGATGACACGTTTCTTCTTTGTGCCTTCCTTTGCTTGATCTAGACGTATATAAGGTGAAGTAACAGAGGGTCCATCCTTCCTCGTCCTCTTTTTGACAGCCCGTTTGATAGATGGGGTTTCTTTTTTATTCTCATTACCACCGTCATATTTTTGAGAAACATCGCTGTGGAGTTGAAATGCATATAATTAACAAAGAGTAACACAAGAATTATATGAAAAGTATAAAAAGAAAAATTACAA